GCTAGTTGCCGCAGTCGCACCTATGGTAAACTGTGCCTGACTACGTTGTAACAGTTTTCCTCGACAAAATGCACGATCAAAACAAAAGAAAACTACTCCATGTGGGGGGCAAATGCAAGACAGCACAAGGGTAACCACCAAACGGAAGAACAAACCGAGAACCCAACCTTGAGCCCAGTACCATGCAGGATACATTCCAAGAACGAGCTCTAAAGACAACAAACAAAACCGACAAGACATGACACGATTCACCACGCCCGCTAGCAGACACTTAAACAAACTAAATGTACACGACGGAGCAACAGAAGGGTTGTTGTCCTGCATTCACAAATAAACCGTTCTCTATCCGTGCGTCGCGTCCATCCTTTCCTTCATGATCCTTGCCTTTATCGGCGCTCGGTCACAAGAACGAGCACGTACCGAATGACTCAGGAAGAAGCCACTGACTGCACCCCACACCCCCCTTCACAGCGAGGGCGAAGAGCTCCACAGGATGTGGCCGTCCTCCGTGGCCATCACCACGCTGGCGTCCCGGAGACACAATGACGCCGCCTTCAGGGCTTCCCGTGGGAGTCCCACGTTAGGTGGACCCTCCACCCTCCCGCTACCTTGGGGCTTCGGCCCAGGGTGCACATCCATCCCCTGCCGACCCTCCACCTGCCGTTCACGGCCAGGTGGACAGGGACACCCATGTCTTGGCCACCGTTCGTGGCTCTCTCCCACCATGCCTCCAACGCACACCCTAGCCCCCCCTTGGCCGTGCCCCCGACCGACCCCTTAACACGGTGGGCCCACAGCGGTGTGTCGTCCGTAGGGTAGGCCGGAATGTCGCCCTGCCGAAGAATCAGGTCCCCGACAATCGTCTACTCCAGGTTAGCGGAATCGACGACCGGCGCCGTCGACAAGAATTGACCCGGAATGAGCGGGTAGTCATCGACAGAAATGCTGTCGCCGCGGACGGCGGGCGTGGGGGCGAGCGTGAACGGCCCGAAGTCCATGGAGAACTTGAACGAGTTCCCAAGTCACCCGCCCGCGGATGTCCTACGATAGTTGAGTGTCGCACGAGAGCGTGTTGCAGAATTGGATAGATGCATGGAGCGGAAGACATGGACTCGGATTGTCTATTAGGCGCTTCGTGGAACTGGAGGCTACTATTGCTACCGTACGCTGTACCGTCAGCTACCGGCTAGAATACAGACACAGAAGCGACAACGTGTTGAAGAGCAGCAACTGCAACGCCAACCCCAATGAAAGGTAAACTACGCGGGGTGCAGCAAGCACGTTCTGGACGTTACTTGGGGCACTGGGTAGTCGGCCGTGTTAGACCGAGAGAGAGAGGTTAAGAGAGAGTTGAAGAGAGAGTGGGAGAAGGAAACTTGATTGGAGAGAGACGGTGGTGGTGGTGGAGAGAGACGGTGGTGGTGGTGGAGAGAGACGGTGGTGGTGGTGGAGAGAGACGGTGGTGGTGGTGGAGAGAGAGGGAAGAAGTGCGCAGCACGCACGCAAGCTCCATCGCACCAACCACGCCAAAAGGATCCCCGTGACTGCACCGGTGGTACCCTACTACACACGAAATTCCCAACACGTATCCCCTGGGATCCTCACGACCAGATACTGCTGCGAGTATATCTAACACCCAACAACGACAGCGAAGGCATGGACAACACGCCCTCGCCCCTCGCCAAACATGTACAGTACATTAAAAAACAACAACGAGTACTTTCCCCGAAAAAAACTGCGTCCTTCTCGGAATCGCGCGTTGTGACCCGCTCCAGGACCGACATCCACTTGTCCAAATCTGCGGAGCTTCCCGCATCGAGCTCCCACTGTGAAGGAAGACATCGTTAGCAAATACAGCAGTGCGAGACAAGGGCGGGTGGCTGTACATCCGAATGACGGAAAATGGACCATCAATGCCAGGACGAACACGGGCGGTAACGGAGAGCAATCGACAAAGAGATGGTTGGCTAGGTAAGCATGAGAAGTTGGCGTGGTGGTTGTTGCAGCGTGAGGTGCAGCAGCTCTTGCGTGAATCGTTTACGGCCATCTCCCGCTAGCTGGCTCGAGAGTATGCGATAGCGCAGCATCCTCCTTTGCTTTGTCAGACGAATTCTTGAACATACGGATAGAAACCAAGCTTGGTGCAAGACATGAATCAGGGGTAGTCTGTGTTGAATGGAAAACTCCGTTTGCTCACCCGTTTGTTCGTCAGGCCTCTAGGAGTTCCTGCCGAAACACGGAACACGAAGCGTCCGTCCTTCGTGGGCCTCCCGTGCTTACCTTCGACCCGCACCACCTCGGTCGAACTATCCAAGGGCATGTCCTAAGAGTTGGCAGGTGGCACGTCGAACGAGAATAATACGCCGAGAGGGATATGGAAAACGGCAGGGAAAAACAGGACGAGAGAGCAGCGACACAATTTACAGTGCAAGTCACGGGGTGATTATCGCTCAGCATTCCACACCATACATAGGTGTCGTGTGCTCTTGACTGCCCGAATAAGATTCTGGGTCTGGGAGAAAACTGAAGAATTTCGTTGATCCGGTTTGCCTCGTAGATGTGAGTTGTTCGCTCCGACAACGCCGGGTGCCTCGCCATGAAGCCGTCAAGCCAGCTGCGCCCCGGGCCCTTATCTGGGTCCCGGGGCACCGGGCGTCCGTCGAGGCAGAGCACTCGCACCGCATCTATGAGCTACTGCCGACCGAAACTCAGAAAGTGTCGAGAAGCGTAGATCAACGCATCTTCCACCGCATCTTCTTCCGCCTTGCTCAGCACAGTCTCGGGGCCAACCCTCGCATCCATGGCCATAGCACCGCTTAAACGTCGCGAGAGCGCGTCCTTGTTCACCCCGTAGGCCTTGGCAGCAGCCCTGAGAGACAACTGACCACTGCGGACCGCATCGCAAGCCTTCTGTGCCTGTTGTGGGTCTACTCTTGCCCGGCCCATGCTCGCTTAGCAATGGACCCGCCACAGGGATGAAAATGACCCGCATCACGGGTGTGGGAGGGCGTGTTGCTGTATCTCGTGGGTGCGTGACCCGATCGGGACGCTGAAGTGCTCAAACGAAAGCTAATAGAACGCTTGAAAATTTGAAAAAAACTCAGGGGTCCCCCCGGACTGTGTGCGGAGATATGTGCACTTGAAATAATGTGTCTCTTAATGGGGGGTGTCTCTTAACTGGTCCATTTACTCTAGCCTAAAGGAGTGTGGCTGCTAGCATGAATAGGGTACATCTCATTGTTGATAGGGTGCGGGTCGGTCAGGAGGTATACCCTTCTGACCCCTACCCCCTTAGTTTGTCTACTCTGTGTACCTTCTGAGATGAAGTTGGATTCCCACTTCATCTCACACCCTTGCTGATCGTCTCTCAGCAATAACAAGCAGCTTTCCCATCTCAGCGTGGTCTTGGACAAACGTGTCAACGACAGAACCTTCATCTATCTCTAAGAGCAAGCTACCGCCCACGGCTTCCCTCCTTAAAACTAAGCTACCACCCACGGCTTCACTCCTTGAAACTACGATGAAAATAGTCTGCAGACAATGGTATATGACAATAACAATCAACCATTGTAATACACCATTGTCTGCAGAGGTTGAGGGTTTTGATAGCGCTTGCGCGCGTGTTGGATTACAACTACTGTACACTACAGTACATACCATACAGTCTAATTCCTACCTCCATTTGCAGCCGAGCAACCGCTTACGAGTACTACTGGTATCTCGTATGCAAATATAAGAAAGGAGACAAGACTGACCCAGGAAACTACAGGGGGATCACACTGTTAAACACAGTAGGAAAAGTGTTCTGTAAGCTGCTGAACGATAGGATAGTGGGAGTATTGGAGAAGGAACATAGCATTAGTGAGGGCCAGGCAGGTTTCCGCAAGAAGAGGGGGAGCGTAGACCACGTATTCACGGTAGGGAGAATCATCCAAGGTAGTAAAAGGGCGGGAAAGCCGACGTACTGCTTCTTCCTGGACGTGAAAAAGGCATACGACACCGTATGGAGAAATGGGTTGCGGAAACAACTGTCCAAGTACGGGATCAAGGGGAAAATGTGGAGAGTGCTGAAGAAGATGACAGAGTGCACGAAAAGCGCGGTCATGCTAGACGGAGAACTGTCAAAATTCGTCGACATTGAGCAGGGGGTCCCACAAGGTTGCACGCTGTCCCCAGCATTGTTCCAGGTGTTCATCAACGATCTGTTGGAAGTCGTAGAGGCAGTCCGGAAGGGAGTAACAGTAGGGGACACGGAAACGTCGGTTTCGGGAATGCTGTTTGCGGATGATTTTGTAGGTATGTCGGACACCCCTGAGGGAATGCAACTGCAAATTGACGCGGCGAAGTTTACTGATAGGTGGAGATTATCTGCCAACGTTAGGAAGAGTGCCGTCATGGTATGCAACGAGAACAAGGAGGAACCAGTAGAACATAGATGGAAGTGGGGGATCGAGGGGATTGCAGTAGTGGACCAGTACACATACCTCGGAGTAGAGATCGCAAAAGACTGCTCGTGGAATGCACACATGTCCAAGGTAGCGGAAAAGGGCAAAGCACGAGCAGGGAAGCTGCACCCAATACTCGCAAACCGGCACCTCGATACACGCATCAAATTGACGGTTTTGAAGAGCGTAATCGTACCGCCGCTAGAGTACGCCGGAGAAGTATGGGAAGGAAATAAGAAGGTAGTGAAAGAACTCGAGGCGGCGCAGATGAAAGCAGCGAAAACCATCCTAGGATGCTCCAGGCGCACAAGTAATGCAGCCGTGAGGGCAGAATTGGGGATCCAATCCCTACGGTCGGGAAGAGACGCGAGGAAGCTGAC